GTGAAGCACTGGTCTGATCCAGCATGGCTCTTCTTATGTTTACTGCTCGGCTGAATTCCAAAATCTGGGCAATGCAACTAAGAAAGCTGGATCTTTTCCAGGTGGTTGTACCATGTAAATAAGTTAATAGGATAGTGGGAGCAGGAAGATACTGTTTCACTTATCAGGCCCCAAAGCACTTAGGATGGTGTTCTCTAATGTGACACCTAAGAGCATCTCCAATTGCACTTGCAAACTCTTCATTTCCTTTTACCTATTCATAATAATAATAAAAATGCATTAAAAAGCACCAGGGTGTTAGGTTCTCCTTCCAGTTCCTGAACCTGCTGCTGATGAGCTGTTCAGCCAGTGAGAAAGCATGGCAGATAGGGGAGAGGGGAGAGAAGAGATGAGGCTAGAGATCAGGAGAAGGGAAAAGCAGTATGGGGGAAAGAAAGAGTGAGGCTAGAAGTTGGGAGTGGAGAGAAACAGCAAGATAAAGGGGTGAGTAAGAGAAAAAGCAATGGTAAGGGCTTGGAAGGGAGAAAAAGAAGGCAGCTAGGAATGGGGAAAGGACAGAGAAAAGGTGTTGAGGAAGAGAAAAAGCAAGGATATTGAGAGGGGGAGGGGGATGTGGAGGGGACAAATGGCAAGATCTTTGTGAATGGGAGAAGATGGGATGGGCCAGGAAACAGCCTTTCCCATTTTCCCCTCCCTGCTGACTGCTAGTCTCACTGCTTCTACACATAGAAACCTTGACTAGTTGTCCCCCTTGGGGCTACCCTCATCCTCCTTAGGAGCCATTGCATGGTGGTGCCCACAGAATCTTCTTAAATTCCAAAACGTGCCCATAGACCCAAAAGCTTTGGGGACTGCAGGCTTAAGAATTTAATGGTAAAAACCCTACATCCTAAATTGGGCCACTGACTGCCTATGCCCCTAAAATAGTATCAGTCTAATACATCATTTTAAATAACACCCCCACCACCACCACCACCAAGTTATTTGCCTGTGGAAGAAAAGACATGCCTGCTGAGTGGAGGAACTAAAAGCTGCACAGAAATGGGACTTCCATCCTCTCACAGCCTGATTTCCGTGCTTGGTACAAGAGGAAAGACAAAGAGGTCCATACCTGCAGTTCCTAGTCCTGTAAAACTACCAGCTTAGAGCTTTTAATTGATTTTTATAGACCTCTTAATATCATAACATCCCTAAGTAGGTGACTGGTCAAAAAACAGGTTCCCGAGAGCAACACGCTGCACTGTAGCGGGGAGCTGTGGCTGGCCTGGTGTACGAATCCCACCATCCATTCTGCCACAGGCTGGTCCAGCGAAATACCAGAGCTGTATCATTTGTCACGATGCAGCAGCCGTTTCCTCCCCTGTTAAGCACTTAATTGACAACATTTATGGCTCATGAGATCTGGTCATAAATATCCCAGACAGAGTGATACATAAGCTCAAAAATTATCCAGTTAGACAAATTACTTTGACTCAAGCTGCTATCACTTTTAGAAATCGGGATAGAAGGTCTTCTCTTTTTCACCGTCTTTTGCAGCCTCCTCTCCAGTTGCTGCTATTAAGCAGCTGTTAGGACAGGGTGGGGGTGCTCTCATCGGGGTTTGCTTATCTTCTGGATGAATAACGTCCCTCTTTAACTCCTCAGCAGCTGGCGTCCAGCCGATGTGTGAGAAAGATGCTGACAGTTATTAGGAAAACATTTGGAATGGAGGCAGCTGCCAAAAAATCAGCATTTATGGTTGCCTGACAAGGGCAGGGAAAGATTGAGGATATTAATATCTTCCATAACTCTTACACGTTCCAGACTCCTCATCAGAAGGAGTCATCATCCACTAGCATCCAGATCTTTGATAATTAATTAAAATCATGAAAAACCTGACAGTTTTTCTAAAATGGGTTTGATTTTTGGTCATGTGTCATTCTTAATTTGCCTTCTTTCCTCACAGCCTTTTACTGAGTCTAGTTCTGCAGAAGAAATAAAAAACAGCATTTTGCAGACTAATTTTACTCCAGTATGCACACATACAACTCCAGATTATTTCCACCTGGCCTTGGGAAATATTTTCCACTCATTCATTTTCAAAGTTTAGGATTCATTTTTTAAAATACTTCACCCTTAAACTTTTAAGCTTACCCTAAGATATAGGAGTACAAAAAGAATGTCGTGAATAACAATATGAAAGCCACGGCAGCACTAATGCATGGAGATGTATGGAGACTGATGACACGTGAGTTCCAATTCTGGCCCACTGTGGAAACTCATCCTGCAACCTTGGCTCATCCCCCTGCCTTCACAAGTGCTGTTGTGAAAACAACATGAGAGAACCCAACATATATCATCCTGAGATCTTGGAAGGAAGGATAGGACTCCTGCCACAGCATGGGATTTCTTTGTCTCTATTTCACAGATTTTTAAAATCAACACTGTGTCTTTTACTGCAAAAGATACAAGCAGGGAAGCATAGGAGGGGATGGGAGATGTAGCTTGTATTAGGGGGGATCTGGACCGGCCTTCCCCACCCTGGTGCCCTGCAGATGTGTTGGGCTGCAGCTCCCTTAATTACCAGCCGGCATGGATATTGAGCAGTCTCAGTATTGCTGATTGCACTATGTGCAGTGACCTGTCTGATCAAGATGTTCTCTTGCACATGATGACCTACATTCTGCCATCAGGTCTGAAGCAGACATGACACAGAAGACATCATCCACCACCATCACCCTCATTATCATTATCATTTACTCCAGCTGGTTTCACAAGCTTCAATTTTTGCTATAGAAAGAATGCATGGACCATTTTGTCTTTTTCCTCTGCAGGCACATAAGGGTTGGAGGGGGACAACAGGACAGAGCCATATAAAATAATGAATGTTGTGGAGTAAGTGGATAGGCAGAAGGTTTTCCTTCTCTGTCATAATATTGGAATCTGGGGTCATTATACTATGGAATTCAGTACCACATGATGATGGCCATAGTGATGGCCACCCACTTTGCAGGTTCTGAAAGGGGATCTGACAAATGCATGAAAGATAAGGCTATCAGTGGCTATGAGTCCTATTGTGTTTATTTCTTGTTTCCGGGCTTCCTCTGAGTGTCTGTTTGGCCACTTTGGGAGCAGAAGGCCTTTGGCCTGATCTAGCATAGCTGTTCTTATGACTCTCATCTGCGTAAGAGGCAAGTAAGGAATAGTGGAGAAATTGTGTGATTACAATGAAACAGGAAAGCAGAGGTATGGGAAACTTGACATCAGCAATTTGGGGATCACTTGCTGGCTTCATAGTAAAATTAAGCTATTTTTTCAGAGATACAGAGACATTTTTCCTATCTTAGTTGAGTGTCCTTTCCCCCTGCTTATCAGCATGACAAGCTCCCAGATCTCTCCTGACTTTAGAGCTTGAAAAGACACCAGAGATAATTCCTGTCCTTGTGACAGAGATAAACCTACTTGTGAGCTTGAATGGGGAGGGCACAAAGCACTTTTAAGGCACTTGGGGTATCTCTGGGGCTCACCATGTCCAAGACAAGTCAGAAGAAGAGTTACAGAGGCCATACTAAGCTCCTAAGAGCAATAAAAATGTGTGAACCCCTCCACATTTTAAAAGCACTGCAGTGTTGCATTCATTTGTCATTTTGCTTTTTAATGCCACTGAAATACTTTCTCTGGAGAACACTAAGCATATTGTACCTGAAGTTATTAATTATTGCATTGGGCTCGAATATTACTTCAACTAACAATGTAATCCAAAGAAAACTATGCAAGGCTTACCGTACAGTCCCTGTGAGTGACAGAGCCCCAATATTGTGGCGACATGATTAACACCCATAATGTAATATATACCCATGTAATGTAATGCCCATGAGGTTGTAGCTCTACTTTTCTTTTGCCTTAGATATATATGAACCACCACATTCTTGGGGAGATTAGGACACTTTTCCAGTATCTTGGGGTCCCTCGTGCAGTGGGTTTGTGCCGGAGATCTTTCCCCAGGGAGGCATCATTACCAGAACAAGATGGCACCTTCCATCTGAGAGTTGCCACCCAAAGTTCAAGCACTGGCCCTGCCTGTCCCTGTGCTGCTGGGGTAAAAAGAACTGCACTGGCTGCCCCACTTGCAGTGCCACTTGGAGAGGAGAAAAAGGGGTGTGCTGGGGATTTACTATTTATTTATTTATTTTATTCATTTATTAAAACATTTTTATGGGAAGGTGCAGAGGGCATGGCCTTGGAGGTATGTTGGGTCCTTCAGCTAGCCAGCCCCCTTCGCTCCCTCTCTCTGGTGCTTCATCAAGACAGCCAGAAATGGCCCTCTAGGAAAAAAGTGAGGGTACAAGGAGTCAGGTTGGTGGAGGCACACATAAGCCTCTGCAGTCAGAAGCTTATGTTCATTGGGGGTGAAGGAAATAGCATTGGGCCTTGGGGGTCTGAACTGTCCTAATTAGAAACCAAGATGGCAAACTCAAGAGAAAGCTTAACAGGGCACATGGAGATTACTTCGTGTTGCAGCCTGAGAAAAACTCTTTCAAAGGTACCGATGTGTTTAATCAACGGATGTCTGTGTGTCAGGATGCTGTGTGTGATCTTCCTGCCTGCTGCTCTCGCTCCAAGGTTTCGGAAACGGTCTTTGCTCCATCCCCTGGGCAGCGTCTGCAGCATGTGGCATCAGATTCCACCCCTTCGCCCTGCCAAGTTCTCAGAGGAGAACGGCTGGGAAGAAGCTTTTCTCTCCCTAATTTATGATCTTGCATTCTCGTCACAGATCATTCATGAGCCTATATTAGAAACTGTGAGAAATCTGTCTGGAGTCTTCTTAGCTGCATTATTGTTGGCCATTAAGAGTTTTAATGATTGATTTTAAAATAGTGACAATAATTGGTGCCACACTTGAAACCTGAGAAATTGTCACTGAGGGAAATAGAAGAGGAAAGCCAAAGTAAAGAAAGGAATAGGAAGAGGAGGCCTTAACCAACTCTTTTCTAAAGAAATCCTCTGATTGTGTCTCCTAGATCCTTCAAGCCTGACTTTGTTCTCATCCGGCAGCATGCTTACAGCATGGCTCTAGGAGAGGACTTTCGCAGCCTGGTCATCGGGCTCCAGTATGGCGGAGTCCACAGCGTCAATTCGCTTTTCTCCATCTACAATTTCTGCAGCAAGCCCTGGGTGGTAGGTAGCACCTTTTAGCTTCCTTACATGGAATGAGGGAGGAGAAACTGCAGGGCCAGTGTGAGCATTTCCGCTGCTCACCCCATCCCCATGGCTGCCCTTGTCGTGTCTTTTCCCACCCCCATGTCTCCCATCCCTGCCAAACCTCCCTTCCCACTCCCTGCTGCATCTCCCTATCACACACACACACACACACACACACACACACACACACACACACAGAGCTAAACCTCTTATCTCCACTGCTGCTCTCCTAAGTGTGTGCAGAGTGATGAAACTAGTGAACAAACAAGCGGCTATTGGCCTGATGAAGGGACAGACTGTTGGTGCTGACCATTGTACTTCTTCTAGAGGTCCTTGAATCGCATTATGCAGGTTGTAATAACACAGCCTCTTCTCATGATAGTGGGGAGGAGCACTGGAATCATGTGAGCCTCATTGGAACTGTAAAAGCCCTGTTAGGTTAGCTTCAGTAGCAGCAACGTGCCAGTGATGATCTTTAATACTCTGCCCATCTTGGTTACAGCATCTTTAGCATGCATGTTTTCTCCTAGGAATCCCTGCTCCTGCTTCATATCGATAAGGGAGGTGTCATATCTGCCATGAAATGAATTGTATTAGGGAAAGGAAAGGGCCTTCTCATTTGTGTTCCTGCTGTAGAATTCCCTGCAGAAGGGCAGGCAAGGACAGCCAAATATTCATTTATGAGACAAATATATGTTTTTGAGATGTTAAAATGGAAAGTTTCAGGAGCTCCCACTCCTCCCATCCAAGATACTTTACTCTGTGTTTCATTATTCCTGTTTCATGGGTTTTATTGATCCCTTCAATTCTGTTTTCTTTTCAAAAATAGAATAAGATTCTAAAATTAAATGGAATATGCCACTGTTCCCTAATAACATTAGGATTTTAAGTTAAAGAAGGATGTCTGAACAGGAATATTCTGCTTCATTGCCAAGTAAAAATGTGATGCATATGTTTTTATTATTAGTAAGTTTATTCATAATATTGGGTTCTCAATATTCTTGAAGGCCATATGAGCTCAAGGAATCATGCTGGTAGGATTTTCTTTCATCTACTTCTCATTAGATTGAAGAGGTCAAATGGACATTAGTATCAGCATTTGGCTCTCTAGGTTGGATATAGATCAGATGCACATTTCATCCATGACACACAATGTTGAGATCATCCCTGGCAAGAATATAGATTTTTACTGTAGCAGACTATTTAGAAATCAAGGGAGAAAAACTTTAGGAATAAACACTATTCTGCTGCAGTTAAGTAGGCTACAAAGTAGAGGGTCGAAAGAAGGAATCTGCTGATCAATATTTTGCCAAAATTATATGTAAAATGTATGGAAAGAGTCTGCAGTTTTAAGTCCACCTAGAACCAACAAAGCTCTGTATGTTGTTAGTAGACCATGTGGTGTTGGGGCAGAAGATATGATTGTTCTGGATGCCACATTCTCATGAATGCCTATGCATATAAGCCTAATTTATGAGAGGGCCAAAGCAAAATTCAAATGCACAGACTGTGCAATCTAGGACTATAACTGTTAGGTTATTTATTTATTTATTTATTAAAACATTTTTATGCCGCCCCATTCGCCGAAGCCTCGGGGCGGCTTACAACAGGTTATCTCTAGGATGACCCCAGTGCAATCATTCCTCTAACAAGAAGATGTCAGGCAACAGGGTGTAGGAAGAGCAACTCCAATACTACAATCCCCCATGTACACACAGATGCAAGGATACAATACACAGGAACCAAGATTTTGCTTCCTTTAAAGAAAGGATGGATGTGTTTTTAATGGGAGAGCAAAAATTTAAAATTCATCATAAAGTTCAAAGGAAAAAAGTGGGAAATCCACTATAGGCCATCCACTTGAAATGAATTTTTATCTGTCTTTATGCAATATCATACACATTAATGCTATTTCTGTATCCTGGTTTGTATATATCTGGGATCAGAATGGACCAAGCATAGTGGAAGATTGGCTGATGACTAGGGATAGTGAGAAATTTGTTCCACCCAAAGTTTCAGGGAAATTTGCACTTTCCCATGTTTAGTGCTATACACAAAAGTGTATATCAGAGAAAAATGTGCCCCCAAATCCAAATGTCATGGAAAATTGCACACAAAATGGACATAATGAGCATAATGCAGGGCTGCATTTTATAGGGGAGATAAATGTGTGCACAAGATGCACATATTTGGAAAAATGTGTACAATAATGCACAATTTAGGAGCAGTGTACATAGAAATGCAGGAACATTTTTTTAAAAAAATCAACATCGATGGGGAATTGCCTGCCTTTCTGAATAAAAGGTCAGAAAGGTGAGAAACTAGATGGGAGACAAGATAGCTTGATTGACACATCCCCACAGATAATCTCCCATGCAAACTGAGGCCTCCATATGAATAGTCAATCATGCAGAAGCTTCATTTGTATGATGTATCCCTCTCCCTTTGTGAACTAGGTTTTTGTTTGGTATATTTGGCTGTGCTGCATAACTGCACAGTGGCCAATATGTGACTTTCTTTTACTTGTTGTGTCTGTACTCTCTGTGTGTGTTTCTGTCTTACAAACACAAACACACCACTAACCTCTTATATTTGCTCACTGAGCTAGTCAAAACAGTTTTATTTTTCTGTTCTCATCAGATGTGCAGCATTAGTGTGAGAGATTAAGCGAAACAAACTGTCCTCTTCACGCAGCCCTGACGGGCCGGGCCGCAGACAATAATCCCTGAGAATATGGGGCCTTGCTTGGCTCGCTCTCCCATCTGACCCCAGTGAGCACAATGGTGACATTCCACACTTGTTTGCAGACTTCTTGATCTCCTGAAATGTTTAATTTTCTCACTGAAGAAAGCATTTTGTTTATTAATCATGTGGACAGCCAGTGCTATTTCAGTATCATTTTTGTACTTTCCTTGAGTCATAAAGGCTGGGCACTTTACTTTTCTAGGAAGGAAGTGAGGTTTTTGTTTTTGTTTGTAAGATTTTTTTTGGAGCATGGTCCTGTACATTTCTGATTTCCCCAGATACAGACACTCCCAGCTCCAGCACATGCCTCCACCATCATCTCAGGGTTCTCGATCGTCAAAGTGTATGATACAGAGGCAATTAGACTGACAAGAGTATCACATCAGATTTTTAACAGAAGCAATTACATCATTAACAAGCTATTACAGATGGTGCAATGTTGATTATACTTTTTAACAAAGTATTTTAAAACATTTTGGTTCCTTTTATATATGTACGTAAACTGTGTAGCTGGAGTAGTGCAATCAGTCCAGGTAAAACAGCTGCACCTCCACGTCATCTTTTACGCAAAGGAATTTATACGCTTGGCGTTCATAGATAGGTCCCCTTAACTATTCATCCTAATGGCCGTACAGTGTCTAGCACTGCTGCACTAGTCTGAAATATGACGCACTCCTGATGACCAATGCGCCAGTTGGAGAGGGAGAAAAGCAATGCTTCCTCCCAGCCACACCTGCCTCTCCCCAAATGGTACCTGAGGTTTATCCCACTCCACAGGATTGCTCCCAAGTGACAGCACTTTACGCTTGCCCATAGGATCTATTCACCTGAGAGGCCAGAAAGGGTGAATCATTACTGAGGCGGCACCTACACTTGCTTCTGGAAAAAAGCAATGTTGGAAGTGAAGGTTTTGGTTTGTGCATCTCAGTTGTGTCAACATATTTACTCTTCTGTATCTAACTCTCTAGAATGAGCTGAGTGAACTTGATAGCCCTAGTCCAGGCTGAGTTCTCTTTCTTTGGGCCAGAAGGTGGGATAGGAATGGTTGCGTCTGCATTTTCTTGCTTGCTAATGATAGACAACTTCTCTCTTTCTTTTTAGTTTTCTCAGCTCATTAAGATTTTCAACTCTTTGGGTCCTGAGAAGTTCCCTCTTGTAGAGCAAACATTCTTCCCAAGCCATAAGCAGATGGTAAGTGCCCTGGTTTTATTTTCCTTGGTGGTGGAATGCATAGCAGAAGGGACTGTGATGATGCAGAGGAAAAAGTGATATTGCGCCTGAAAGGCGGTAGAGCAGTAGCAACGGTGGAATGGTATTCTAAAAGTCCCTTCCCTTCTTGCCCTCAGCAGCACACAAAATGCCTGCAAAAAGTGGGAGGTGTAACACAGATACCCCACCCCCACGTTCTGCTTTGGTCTCCTGAAGAGTTAAGCAGCTTCAGATCTCCAGGCCTGAGACCAGAGGCCATGAAGGCCATCACCACCCACATGCTGCTCTTGATGGCTGCGAGTGCTGCAGTTCCAATTGTCATGTTGCACGCCTGTCTGTGTGCCGTGCGTTCAAAGTATCATGTGTGTCCTGCTGCTGCTGCTGATGATGATAATGATGATGATAATGATGAAAACAGGCAAGCCTTCAAGCACAAAGGCTCCAGCTCAGTGGAGATCAGACATAGGCAGAAATGGTCCGGGTAGTAAGCAGAGCACGGTTAAACAGTTGGGGTGGATCAGGCTAAGGCAGAGATGGCCAAGAGAACAGGAGAGCAAAACCGAGTTACATAGTAAGATACACAGTTCTGACGCAGAGTCAAGCAGCTGTCTGCTTGTGGGGAGCATGACACATCAATCACAGGGCAAAGAACAGGTGGCAATACAGAAGGCGCTGGAGCTGAAGGAACAGCAATGTGGATAAGCACAGGTGAAGGTGTTTATGGCAGAGCATCCACTTCAGCTGTAGTGCATGAAGACTCTACCTGGCACTCTACTTGCACATGAGGAGCCACCTTAACCCAAGGATTCCTCAGTAAGTGAGCACTCCTTCTCACAGGGCCTTCTCATAGTTCTGCTGGCCTGCTACTTGGGGCAATGCTGCTTCTGTGGACCAAGAGCTGTCCAATCTCTGCTCAGAGGCAGGGTCCCTTTGCCCTGATGGGGCTGAACCTGCAGCAATCTCCTCTGGGGTCCCAGGCTCCTCCTGATCTGGGAGCTACAGGTCTTTCTCTGTGGAGGTTACCTCCAGTGGGGGACAAGACAATTGACAATCCTCATCGACTGCAGAAAAAAGTGCAACCGGAGGACAGGAGAAGCTAAGTATGTTGGCTACCAATGCTAGCTGGTCCTTCTATGTCGACATGTCCAAAATGAGAGCAGTGGACCTTCTGCTCAACAATGTCACTTGTGTAGGACATTCAGCGTGAGCAGGAAAATGGACCACTTGAGTCAATTGGTACAGTCCTTGGCAAGATGGGTGGGTCAGCATCAGGCACTGGAGTCTGCACTGGCATCGCTTGCAATTCAGTGATGAACCAGTAAGTTAAATAAACCAAGCAAATGTGAAATTTACTGTATCTGTGATGTTATTGTAGTCTGTTCCAAATCTTCATTTCTGTTATTCACTGAAGTTCGCTTGGAAAATATGATCTCTTTTCTCCGTTTAAATAATTCTGCCTCCTCCTGCTCAACAGTTTTCTTTCAAAGGTTTTCATTCCATCAGTGATCCAATGAACTGTATACATGCTCATTATTTTCATAAACTTTTGACAGAAAACCATGTACACAGAAATTGCTTTTCTTATAATATTAAGGAAAAGGGATGTGTTAGTTTACTTTTTTCTCCATATGATTATTGGAAGGCTTTCAAAATACCAGGTAAAATAATTAGAAACAAAACTTGTCCCCCTCTATTCTGTAGAACTGCAGGACAGGACAAATTGTTGGGTGAAGGCAAAACTGGATCTCTTTCTGTGCTCCCATCTTACACATCTCTGATTCCTGTGGCTGTTGGTATTCCTGTTTGGGCCATTTGATACTGTGCATTAACACTGGACCTATAGAGTTGCAGAATTGCAAGCTGCCAAAGCTTGGACTCTGAAATTTATGCGAACTGAGGTTGTCAGGAAAGGGACCCTATTGCTGGAAGGAAAATGCAAATACTGTAGAAGATGAATGCCAATAATATGATTTACACTTTCACTCTTATACTATGTTCCTTTGATTTTTTTTCATATTCAAGTATGAAATATATATTCAAACACCAGAATTCAAATACAATGCAAACTAAGCAAAGAGGTAGACACTGCTGCCCCAGAAGAGTCCACCGCCCCAAAACTGTTCTTCCTTCATTGCTGCTGTTCATATTTTGATGTTCTGCAAGAGTGTGCTACTGTTCCAGCACAAAATAAAACACATTTTCTTTTCAATTAACGTTTTTTAAGCAAACAAAAAGATCCCCTCTCTGGGAAACGATCTTTATTTCCCTATGTTTATTCATAGCAGCAACCAGATTTGCATGGGTGGAAGGCTTATGTTGATCCTGTCACGGCTGCAAACAAACATATGACGCTGTCCAGGCTGGATACATTTTGCCTGCTCTATCTGAATGAAACCCTGCCTGTTGGCAGCTTTTGACACAAACATGGCCTGTGCCTTAGTCCATCCTGCAGGCTCCTGAAGGAGAGAACTTTCTACTGCTTTCCCCTGTGATGGGACTCCCCTGCAGCAGCAGGGAGGAGATAACTCTGTCTCTAAACCTTACTTTGATACCATGACGCCTTCTTGCAGCTGCATGCAGCTGTCAGAGAGCTGGACAGGTTTGGCTCATCCCATCTGAGAGAAGCCATACATACGAGCACACCAAGGCCTGACTCCTGCCAGGTCCACCCCTGGAGTTCCTTAGGGAGGAGTGTTTATTACATTCTGCTGAGCACAGGGCTACCCGAAGGGGATGGAAGCAGGTCTTTAAGTCTTGGCCTACTAATCTTCACATGCTTCATAGTTTCTGGAGCTCAAAGCTATGTGCTGGATAGGGAAGTTCATCGCTACTGGCTTAAGAGGAACTACCGGCTGCAGCAAGGAGGACACATGGAAATAAAATTTCAAGGAAGTTAATCAATGTGATTCAAAAACAAAATAACCCTTGAGGTGCATACCTCTAGAGTCCGCGTAATATGCACGCCAAGTTTCAGATGTCTAGGTTTCAGAGTCTTGGGCTGTGGTGCTGACAGATGAAGGCAAGCAGCCTTTTTCATTTTATTTTACTCCCCATAATACAGCATGCATTTTTAAAGACATGATCCAAGTGGAAGAATTAAATAGATTCCCTTCCCCAGGAAGGGTTTTTTTTTCACCCCTTCCTCCATTTATTTAATATAAATCTCCATAAAGAACAAAACAGCAAAAGATACAATCTGGGTGGGAGAATGTTGTTTCTTCCTTTGAATTATTTATCTTCCATTCAATTGTTGCTCAGGTCTTAGCTTAATGTAATTATTTCCTTCCTTGCTTACTTGGGCCCTTTCATCATTCCTTCCAGTTTAAAGTCCAGAAATAGAAATCCGAACTAGAGATCCTGACATTATCAGTGCTGGTCTAAAGAAATTTTCTGGTGTCCCAATAAAAAAATCTCATAAATTATTCCTAACTATGGCACACTATATCAAAATAATAATTTAAGGCAAAACTTAGTCATTTTTACAATAGGCTCTTTGAAAATATTTGCTGTTTTGATAAACCAAGGTTATTTTTCTATTGACTGCATGTTTTAACAGGTATTCTGGTAGTTCCTCAGCCTTCTTTCATCCTACTCAGAAGCACAGCAGTCACTAACTGATTTGCAGCATGGAAGGAGGTACCTCCCACCCTGCTTAGGATGCCCATAATTCTTCAAGTTCAGAGAGTTCTAGGCATTGCCGTAGGATTGCACCCTAAATGGACTTGAACTAATGAAATGCAACGCTTGCTTGTATTTGCTCTTGGTTCGGGATCCCCATATGATCCAAAAGTAAACCAATCCTAATGTCCTAATTATTAGAAAGGGAGAAAGCACATGCCCAAAGCAGATTTGTTCCCAGCTTTGGCAGTTATTTCCCATCTATTTTAAAGAAAAAGAGAACTGAAAGATCACCATGAATTGCAATCAGAAGCAGTGGTGATCCCAGGCACACTTACAAAGGCAGAGTTGGGCTGCTAGAAAAGCTTCCAGGCAATCCTTCACATTCTGCTTCTAGCTAATAGCAACTAGCTAGGTATCTCTAACTGTAACACATGGCAAATAAAGAAAAACGTATCTGTGATAGAAATAAAACACTTTATTGTTTTAGAATAAAAGAACACTATAAAAAGTGAACATTATTACCTTAAAAGACAATATACATTCAATGAATATAAAATTTATAAATAACAAAACAAGGAGGAACCGTAAACAGTGCTACAAAACGTAGCAAAAAGTACATTCCTTTTGGGGAGGATCTTTCTCCCAGACTAAGCTTCTTTCCACTCTAATGCTCCTAATTCTTAGGGATGGTAATGCAGGAGAGAAAGAACACAGATTTTCAGCCTAGTCCCACACCTGCTAGTTGAGCTGGAAGTCGGATCAAGTTCAGTGAGACTTACTCCGTCCAAAGGCAGTGCACACAAGCGTGCCTCTTAAGGCTGCAGTCCTGTGCCCACTTGCCCAGGAGTGAACGCCAGAGACCACCTTCCAAGCAACCCGGCACAGGATGAGCTTCCATAGAAATGTATAGGAGTTCTTAACTGCATCAGCACAGACTTGCATCTCAACATTAATGGCAAGGCACCAGTTGACTTTGCACCTCGGGCCCATACGCCAAGTGCAAAGGTGAGCATAGCAGCTATAATGCTGAGAGCCTGGGTGGTGGATGGAGGGATACACTTGGGTCAGGCTTCCGTTTCCAGTCCCTCTCGTCATGCCAACCTATACAAGGGGTACGATGGCAAGGGTGTTGCGGAAGGGAATGAAATAAAAGATTAAAAAGTGCTTCGCATCTTTTTTTAAAAGACACAGTATTACTAATAGCACTAAAGGATTTGGAGGCCTCCCAAAAGAAATGTAATTTTTGCTGGGCTCTCCCCGTCATTCTTTCCCCTCCACTTGACTTCCCATTAAAACAGCCACAAACAAAAGCCCTCTGTGATGGCATCTTCATTAGTAAGGTGGAACCTTGCTGTCCGCTGCCCTTGCCTGTGTGGCCAGCCCTCAACTCAGTCCTACCTTCTGCAATGCAAAATGGAAATCCACATAGACAAAGAAATAGCTTTGTTGGGTACGTGGCCTATTCTTGTTTTGTTTCCTACAAACACACAGATATATTACAGTTTGTATAAAGACACATACCTTCTTAGCAATTAAAGAGATTTCTACAATAACTTGATTGCAATACTGTACTGTCTCAGCCATGACCTTAAAATTCTAGACAGCGAAACTAATAAAAATTTAGAGCTGCCATTCCGTGAAAACACAGATCAAAATCTTAAACAGCACAGTCAGCAAAAGGCTGCCTTGTCTTTTTGACTGTCGAACTCTGAACTTGGGTCAGTTTTATATCCAGAAATGGGACAAACTGAACTCAGGCCATGTTAACCTCCAACCAGTTAGTAGAGGTACTAAGAGACTCTGTCTCCACCACCAGGTTTACTGAATTTGGCCTGCTGCAACAGAAACTAGACTTAACATTCACTTCAAAAGGAAGGAAATTTGGTGGAGATTATTAACTTAAGTCCCAGTTTGATTTTATGTGGCATTTGCATCTTCCAAGGTGTATAGGGTGGTAAATAAGGGTTGGATCCAGACTTAGACTGGTCTCACTGAAATCAATGGGAAGAGTTAATCTTAAGTAACTTAAGTTCCATTGATTGCAGTGGGTCTTCTCAAAGAACATCTAAGTCTGCACAGGTGTTTTGAAAAGTTTAGAAGAGAATTAGTATACTTCCAATAAGCACTTGTCTAATGTAGAGTCTGATTATGGACCAACCCCTACATGCTATTCAAGAAAGACCTTATGATCAATGTCCGCCTTGCTGCTTTCACTCACAAAGTAGAGAGAGATAAGTTGATGCTTGTGGTGCTGTTAGTTCCATTAATTTTGGCTGGAGCTGGATGCAGCTGGGGCAGACAGCATCAGAATTCTAGCTTTAGTCCTTTTGGTTTTTTCAAAATATTAGTAAAGAAACCTTCTGTTGTCATTAGCTCTGTGAAAGTGGCAGCCATCTTTTTAAATAATTGTCCAAAAATAAGTATCAAAAGATTGAGATCCCCTCCCTGGGAATCAGTACAAAATCAGGCATGTTGTATCTCTGAAAGATAGCACATTTCAGTAAAGTTCCTCTCTCTTCTTGCTTTGCCTGCCATATCATTATTCAATACAGCTTCCAGGTCTAGTTCTACTAGAAGAATGGTCACTGGATACACTGAGTTATCAGACCCAAGATCAAGACCCATTTACAGATCATGTGATGAAAGTGGACTAAAGCACTTCAAGATGCAGGCTAAGGACTGCATGATCACATGCTCCCTTCCTATGGAAATGACTGCCTATGTAAGACCCAAGAAGTCAGCCAAAAAGAGTGCTAGCTTAGCACTCTTCTTCTCCAAAATGGGCTGAATGTCTATGTTCAGAGATTCTCTCCCTCCCCACAGCCCAGGACTGTGGCCTTGAACCCCACCTCTACTATCTTCCAAGTGTGGGAGCTTCAGGCCACACCTTCAGCTCCCTGGACCGGCAAGAGCTATTCATTCAACAGTTAAGGCAGCGATGCTTAGGCTTACGTTTATCACAGGGCAATTTCCAAATTATGGCAGCTCCATTTCCTACAAGGAATGAACTGAAGAGAGATAACAATGTAAGACAAATCACAATTACAAATAAGAACAAAACGCGTGTTAAGTGTCAATTTCCCATCCCGCTCCACAGCCTCAATGAAATCCCTTCAGTGACTCTGCTCACTTCACAACACTCAAATGTAAAATACTTTTATTACAAGACTTTTATATTATACTTTTCATAATAAAAACAAACAAATCATCAAGTCTACAGAGAAGGTGGGAGAGCTAGCTTCATCGTCCTTTTAGCCAGAAGGCGTAGGGAGCACATGGACCTTGCCTGCTTTAACCACAGCCCACAAGGGAATCAATCACAATCTCCCCCTAAAATGTTCTTTTAGATAGCTAAGATTTAGAGCTTTAGGAAGGATGTCTGTGGTAGGGGAAGTGTGGTTTTATTTATTCTCTGCCCATCCTGTCTATCTGCTAGCTACTTCTGTTTTCACTGCACATACTGATAAGAGAACCTGTCCAAAGAGGAAAACATTACCAAGGAGGAATTCTCTCCCTGCCCCCTTAATAGTGACAGGATTTTGTGTTATGAAAACACAGCCTAGCACACTGTAAAAAGTGCTCAGAAGTGACAGAGGATTTAAACTGAAATCTTACCATACCGGGGCATTTTCACAGGACCATTTTATCATGTGATAGAAATACAGTGACCTTTCAGTCTCTGAATTTTGTGGTGCAAGGAGAAAAGGGGAGCCCACAGGGAGGGGAATAAACACACACGATTAACACTACTATAGAAACCACTGGAATTCCAACATTTTTACAATTAAACAAAAATAAAATAGTAACCAGTGACTTGGAATGTGATGATCTCTCCTGTGAAACAAAAGAATCAAACTTTTCCTTGCTTATAGCATGAAACAATCCCATGTCCTGACAAAAATAGCTTATTACATCTATATACATTTTCATTCAGCAAAACAGTGTTGTGGCAGCTGGTTTCTTATGTCAATAACCCTAATTAAATTTTTTTGTCCCCTTCCGCCAGTCCTCTATTTGTCCCCATCTCCAAATACTGCTGTGTGAGTTTATTTCTTTAATTTGTATTGAAACTTTTTATCTATTGGGTGCAGGGATGGGTTAATATAAAGGTTGCAAAGGCAGCTTTAAAGCCACATTAAAACTACCAAAAGTCTGGCATTGTTTTAATTCTATACAGGTTTGCTCTGCATTTGCACTTAGAAAAGAGATTAGCTGCATTAATTGGTGTTGATTTTTAAAAGCTGTTATTTATCCTTTGTGCAAACTCAGAATTGCCATGGAGCTTGTACTTTCGCAGTTGGAACCTGACTGGCATTTTGACGTGGACCTTTTAATTCACATGACAGCTGGATTACTCCAGTGCTCCATCTCTTACAAACTCTGTAACTTTCTCTTCATCCATCCGGTGCACGGCTTAAATTTGCTCATATTGTTAATCTTAACTGGTTGCATTTTTTTTAAAGTTTTGTCTATGTAGGCTGAGCAGTGAATATATGAGAGAAGCAGCAGCAAAGGGGAGGGGGTGAAGAGGACAGGCTAGAATTGCAATACAATGCTCAACTGGGAAATTTTTGAGATTTTTATTTTCCTACAAAAATATAGATTATATTGCTATATATAGTGATATATAGAGCAAATGCTCTCTTATTTATCTGGTGTGCAAATAGAAGTTCCCAGATAAATATCCTTTTGACCAAAATGGGTGAGAGAAATTTTTAAAAAACAAGTGATTTGAAACAAAAAAATCAGTTAAGACAGCATAGATTTAAAAAACACACACAAATGTTCGAAGTGCTAAAATTTGCATGAAACAGGCACTAATATCATGGTTGCCATCATGATCGGATATGAGTTAGTGTCCAAAGAATGCTCAGCCACAAAGGAGAGAAAGAACAAGAAAGAAAGAGGGTTGGGTGTTCAGGGGTCTGTGGCATTGATGATGGTTTTGTCAGGTGGTGCCCATCCTCTGTACCAGCTACAGTAGCCCTCCTTCTGTTTAATGCAGGCATAGTGCTTTGACTGGTACCCAGGCTGGCCAAAGTTGGAGAGCATGTCTGTCCAGAGGCACTCGTTCTTGGAGGTCACAAAGCAGGGCAGGTAGTAGCAGGGTTTAATCTGCAGTTACAAAAAGAGAACAGGTATGCATGTTGGCATGGATGTTAATTCTTCACGTAGATGCTTTAAGGATCCCTTAAAGCCAATCAGGGTGCCCAATCTCTTTCATTGTTCATGTCCATCATTCAAGGGATGAATTTGATTTTTAGCAATTTCTTCAGGGGTTTCATTACACTGATGGGTAGAACCAAGGGCAAAAAGGACAAAAAAGCATCCCCAAATCAACCACAGTTGAAGGAAAGAAGACAGGGTCATCGGGAGGACACTGGAGGACCAGACGTGGCCCTCAGGGAGACAGATTTGACCTGCAGGCTTCAGATTCCGCACCCTGCTCTCCACTATGAATTCTTGTGCCAGACTCTTGTGAGTCTGCCCTGTCTAGAAACTATCTGACTAGTCATGGAGTAGAAGAGTTATTTCATCCTGTTCTAATGATGAGGCCAATTATCCTGGAATCATATTACAGGACTTATAAAAGAAACTGGCCTAAAATCCTACTCTCTTCCAGGCTCTGCACATTTTTGGATCTGGCCACCCTAAGTCTAATGGGACAGGCATGCCAGAGCTTAGTTTTTGTTAAGAGGCTTAAGAAAATGTCCCACATGCCCCCCTCCCCAAAAAAAACACCTTTCACAAAGAATAGAATTCCAAAGGGTTTCCTGTTATTGCCTTTCTTGGGCATTCTTCCCAGGACATCCCTAATATATGAACGAATTGATAATTCTAAGGATGACTATGGAAGGTAGCACGTACCTTGCAGCCACAGCCTAGGTGGTAACGATGGTTCAGTCCTTTGCGCTGGGAAAGAGTCAGTCTATCCCATTTCTCATTCAAGTTACACAATCCAGTATAAACCTTTCCATCATAAACTCGACCTAGAAAACACAAATGCAAATCAGCTATTCCAAGGTCTAGATTCCTGCACTTGCTAATATTCTCAGTGTAAGTGCCAGTTTGTAAATTGCTGCCAGTTGTGAAAGCCCCTCCTGTGGCCACTGAATACTTTTGCAGCAAAGTATGGGATAGAAATTTGTATTTCAAGCCCATGGAAGCCTTGTTCCTTCTTCTACACCTATATAAGAAATTAGTGCTGAAATTACTGACAGTTTTCAAGGCATTCCTTTCTTTTAAGTTTATTATACAAGCCCAAAGTTACATGCTTCTAGTTCAGATTCCAGCTTTGTCAAGAGCAGGTTGTAGAAGAGTTCAACCAGTCAGATCAGTATCTAAAGCTCAGTATAACTGAAAATCTTTTTTCCCCTTTGGTTTACAAAACCAACACATCACTTTCACAGACTAACAGAAAAATATTCAGAACCAAAAATGTAAATTTAAATTCTGAATTTGTAACAGTTTATGAATTTGTGCAAACTTTCTTATATTCTAAAATGAACCTGCCTTTTATTCAGACTATTTGTCTTTGTTAGCTGCTGTATAAAATGCATTCTTTGTGGATTCTTTAGTGTACATTTTCTAGTGCACAAAATTAAATGTAAAACAAAATTTTAATAATCAAAAGCAAGCAAAGAGAAATAAGATCTAGAACTGCCATGAAAGGACAAAGCAAATGCCAACACCACTTCATGTCTAGCAAATGAACTAAAACTTACCATCAAGATGCATGATCAACAGAGATACATCAATGAAATGATGTAACCTAATGTCAAATAGGCTTTTGTAGTTGCTACATGCTGTCACGTCAACTCTGACTTTTGGGAGCCTTATTAATAAAAAGGCCTAGCAGAACAAAAATGTCTCAGCCTTACAGCTAAAAGACTTGAATGCCAGGTGAACCGCTCTTCACAGTGCATTCCACAGATGGCAGTCGCTGCCAAAAAGGTCCTCTCCTTTGCACCACTGTCCAAACTTCAGATTGAGGGGCATTTGGAGGAGGGCTTCCACTGATGGCCTTACAGAACAGATAGGTATATGTCTAGCAAAAGGCATTCCGTTAGGCACTATCCCTCTCCCTGACTAGCACAGGCAGCTTGGACATAGAATTAAACAGAGAAAACAGTGCTGAAAGCTCACCAATGTTACTATTTGGTGGGTAATATTTGTAAGACACGTCCATTAACTAGCACTGAACTGCCTCCCCGCCCTGCAAGCAAAGAGATCCGTTTTTTCTTTACCTGTAATCATATACTGGTACTTGTTGACCTCAAGCTTGACCCCACAAAGACTTTCAGAGGCTTCTGTGTAGATATACTGAACATGTGGCATCTTGTCAAATCCCCTGTACATCTGAGGGGGGGGGGAGAGAGAGAGAGAGAGAGAGACCATTTTAATAAAATTTTGTTGATGTATGACAAAAACAAAAAGATTGGCTTTTGTATTTTATTTCATCCACTTTGTCTTGAAGTGCTTAAACTATTTATTCCAGGGAATTGTTTTATTTCTATAGAGCTGCACTGTACAGGTGTTTGGACCAAGGATTCTGGGAAGATATGATGCTTATTTATCAGTTCAGGTTTCTAGAGAAGACATGCCATAATGCTCTTCAGATGCTTATTTTTTGTTCAAACACAGTCTTTGAGAATCTGGAAAGCCTTCTGAGAAGAAACCTGCTACCTAATCATCTCTTCCAGTCCTTTCAAATGTACAAAATATCTGGCAATGTTTATTATGCATGGGTACAATCCACTGGCAAGTTTTCTTATGTCACTGTTTGTGCAACACAGAAGAAATTCCTCACAGATTGTTGCTTTAGTCAGGAAAAAGCCACCAAGAAGGCAATAGTACTGCTCTTTGAACCCTTTTGTCACTACAGCCCTTTCTTTCAGGGAACGAATGTCTGCCAAAACAGAGTATGCATGAATGTTGTTTGGTGGTTACTGCCTTAGCAGTAACCATTCCTGTTAAGGATGAATTCCCTTGGAGGTTGGATGAGATTGCACATGAAAAATCCAAAGCAAATCATGTGGTTCATCTCATTTCAGTGACCCTAAAGACAATATCTTGCAATGGGAAGGTTCCTCACGCCTCACTCCATGCATTCTAATGGACGCTAAGATTGATACGAACTCCTTTCTCTTATAGCTGCAGAGCTTCTTGTGCTCCCCTGCAGTAAGGGGTGGGATGAATATATTGTGAGCTGCAGGTGTTGTTTGCCTTTTTAATTGACTAGGCACATCAACAGTATTGGGAGTAATACAATCAGCTTTGGTGTATGATCAGCCTAAAGGCAACAAGTTACAAGTAGAGGTTACAGAGCATGAATAATGTTCTAAGGCCATCTGAAGTACTTTGCAGACTCTGCCAACACAGACATAACCATAATTCCCTGGCTTCTGAATATTTATAAACTGTGACCCTGGTTGAAATTAATTTACATTCCACTTGGTTTGGTTTTTCTAAATATGTATCTTGAAATGCAGTTAAATCCTCCAGGGTTTTCCCCACCTTCTTTCCTTGGTCAAAAGTCGTTTGGTGGCATCCCAAGTTTGTGCAGTCCCCTTCCCTAACCCTAATCCCGCCCCCCTTTTTAAAGGCTTAGAGACCAGCTTTCAGTGAAAGTTTAAACTAAGATATACTTGTATTTTTCTGCATGTTGTCCCTGCCTTTGCCCCTTTTCCCTTTGGTCTCACCTCCATGGGAATGCAGCTCTCAAGAGCTTCTCCTTAATGGCATTTGGCTCTCCCGCTGAAGGAGATTCAACATCCTAGAGTAATTGCCCTAAGTTAATAAAAATCTGTTCCAAGCCACAAGCACTACCTCTAGCGATAATCACGGATCAAGGCACCAACCTGATCCTTTCGGAGGAGGGCAATCCCCTGCTTATTGAAATAGAACAGGAGAGACAAGCGTATAAGTAGTTGGCTGAACAGAACCAAGCACCTTGACCACACCCTCAGGCCTCAGCAACTGAAACTCATCCAGCACAACTGGGCCAGACATATTCTGGATGCTAATGTAACTAGAACTACACTAAATGGGATAAAGGGAAGCACCATAACTTCAAATACCTTGCAAACCTGTCAAGGTTGGCCACTGAGGGCAAAATTATTCTCCTCCCCCGGCCCTTTACCACCCAGAAAAGCTCTACTGGGTACACTAGAAATGAAAATCCTTTATCTCCACCTTTATCTCTTAACTTGCATTCAGTTCCATTGGAATTGAACATTCAGGGCTGATTACACCTAAAGTACTTTGCAGTGATTGCAAAAGCAAACATTTTTCATGAGCTATGGATTGATGCATTCAACAAGCTCTTGCTGGCCTGCCTCCACAGCACATGTAAACTCAGATCTTGCCATTCCTAGATCTGCTATTCTATCCACCAGAATATACAGGAGACGTCTGGTAATAGTTCTTCTACTCATCTTGACTAAAACAAACACCCCAAACACCCACTGTATTTTGCTACAAAAATGAGGGTTCTATTCTATCGGACACGGTTTCATGTTTGGAGGACCTGGACAGGCAGGCTGAGTTTTACCTTGGATTAGCTTGTCAGTCCTAATGTACCTTACTGCCATTTTCCATGCTAATTGTAAGTTGCCGTTTGTTGGGATCTAGGTTTAGCCATGCTGCTTGCACAGCTTTAGAGCCACCTGTGTTATTGGAAGTACTGTTTGAGGTTAAACAGTGACTTAAGTCTATAATTCCTAAATAAAATAAATAATAAAATAATTAAGCTTCAATTTATTAGCCCTCATCTCGTCCATCACTCCGGCCAGGCATCAGTTCACAGTTGTCACTGCTCCACCTGGATTAGATGTGAACAAGAGGTACAGCTGAGTGTCATCAGTATACTGAAGACACTTCAGTCCAAACCTCTGGATCATGATTTCACATAGATGCTGAACCACATGGGGGTAGGATGAAACCCTGTAGCACTCCATGGCTTAACTACCTACCCATCACTTGGAATTTAATGCAAGATCAACATACATGGGTCTTCTGCACCTTTTGACAGCTAAATCACTAATATAACATTGGATAAATGACTGCCTGCAATAACAAAATGAGTGGAGGATTTAACAAAACTTTCAATTACTGAGCATGTAATCCTTAGGCATAATTCACAAATGAATAAATATATGGATATTTGGTTTAGGCTTAGCTATTTTTAGCAACAGTAGTATGTTTTGCTATATATGAATACATAAGGTTATACAACATATATGTAATTACTGTTATGGATCTATTAATCTATTAATCTATTAATAATAATCTATTATTATCGTAACCTCCCCCAGACTCATAATATTATATTTATTATATCCCACTTTTTTCCTTTCTTTTTCTTGACAAGGTTTTGTTTTGTAACACACAATAACAAATAAATTAAAATATTATCAGCCAATTACATAAGCACAATAGTACAAGATTTTTGATGGGTTTTGTGAAAAACAAAATCAAACCCCAGAGGAACTACACAGCTAAAGAAAATGAGTGACCAGTTTGTCTTCAGGCACAAATCCATTCCAGTGAAGGGGATGTGTCAAGGCTGGTTTGGACAGCAACTTTAGTTTGTCATGATTTAGAAAACAGCCTTTATAACCTCACAACTTTTATCTTTAGCTGGATTATGCTTTATAAAGAGAATTACTGTTATTAGAAGGCAGGCAAGTAGCTGTTTTTCCAAACCATTACTTTGTCTAATATGCTTCAGATTTCTACAAACACCATCAGAGTTTTTATTTGTTCCTTTCCACTCTTCTAAAGATATTAACCAGTCTTATGACTGAGACGTAGCAGCCAAGAAAAATAAACCAGAGCAGATTTTCAACATTGCGTAACAAGAGGTCAATTGGCAACAGAATGTCCTGAGCAACAGGTTTCAGCAAAATCTGCTCATCCACCAGAAAGCACAGAAGGGAGCTCCAGTGAAGGGAGGAAGCAGCTTTTTTCTCTGCAGAGTCAGCAGGTCAAATCTAATCAGACTCAAATTGTCTAAGAATTAGTTACCCGTACATAATGTATGTTGCTTTATGTAGATTTGTCACTGCCTCACTTTAGTTCCTACTGAAAAAACATCAGCATCATTCTAACTGGGACATATGTTGACACCATCAGGTGAGAACTAAGAGATTTAGGGTTCGTTCTCTGAATAACACTTCACACATACTTTGTGCGAACAAGTCCAGTGGTTGTTTTAACATGTCTCTGTTTCAACGATCTCAAAAGCAAGCTAGAATGCAGTAGTTAAATATACAGATGTATGCATTTAAAAAATGATCTCAGAACAAGATTCTTCCTGAACTACACTGAATGGAAACATCAGAAGAGGCAAGCATACCTTCCCCTTGCAGGGACTGGCCCAGTTCTCCCAAAATACAGCATTGCAAGGTGAAAATTCGAGAATGCTTTGTTGGGATGCCAAGTCTAAGGAGCTCTGAGATAAGCTAAGAGGCTGATGAGAACCAAATAGTCTCTGGCTCAAGGGGAGACACTGCAGAACAGGGAGTCAAAGCCAGAGGGGGATGGAAGTAACTTGAGTTCAGTTTTCTTTTGCCAGGTCAAGATAGCATTCCTGCCATGTGGACCATGAGCAGTGCAAACCTCCCTTAGGGTGGAGTTAACTCCATTTGGTGGGAAAAGGAAGAGGAGGGTTCAGTCTGGAATCAGCTCCTGGTATGGGCAAGAACTAACTCCAAAATAAGAGGGTTTAAACTCAGTGGATGCCCCTTATTTAACATGGATAAAATTACAGTTAGAAGCTTCACCTAGTGATCTGCTGAGAAGGGATAAGGAGAGAATGATACCAGCCCACAACTATGGGCTATGTATCCAGTTCAGCTTTATGTAATTACAGGCAATCAGGGTAGGGGTGGAGTCACTATTAAAAATGCTGCCAAGAAGATGGGAGATTTCTATCTTTACTTCTCAACAGGACAGGACCCTCAATCCCACCATCTTGCCCAGTACAGCTGAAAAAAGACATGTCACAGGAGGCTGGGTGTGGGTGACAATGGAAATTATGTGATTAATTCATTTCTGCCCATAGTCAAAACTCTTTAAGCAGCATGCAATGGTTAATACAATAAAATGTGATATTCAAACAAATAAGCCATTACTCTCACGTAACATTGGTCCTCTACCAGGTCCACTGGCTTCCAGTTGAAGTCCAGGCCCAATTCAAGGTGCTGGTTTTGACCTACAAAGCCCTAAATGGCTTGGGACCAGGATACCTGAAGGACTGTCTCTTTCCTTATATGCCCTCACATCCCTTAAGATCTATGGGAGAAGCCCTGCTCCGGGAACCCTCTCTAAGAGAGGTAAAAAGGTCATTAACTTGGAGTAGGGCCTTCTCAGCTGTGGCACTCAGACTCTGGAATGTACTTCCCAGAGAGGTACGCCTGGCGCCAAGTTTATACTCTTTTCGGTGCCAGGCCAAAACCCTTTTATTTAAACAATATTTTAAAATTTAACAGCTTTTAACCTTCAGTCACTCTGTTTGTTTTGTGATTTGTTTTGTTCTGTTCTATTATGTATTGAAATTGTTTTAATTGTTCTTTTAAATATTGTAAGCTGTCCTGAGATCTTATATAATAGGACAGCATACAAAATCTTTTAATAAATAATAAATAAATATTAAATAAGTCCAACTAAGACTAGCTCTGCTAAAAACAACTTGTAATACCCCTATGTGCTAATTGAAGTCTTGGCAAAGAAAGCAGTCTTAACCTGGTACTGAAAAGACAGTAAAGTTGGCACTGGGCAGACCTTGGTGAGGGAATGATTATATAGTTTGGGACTACCACACAGAAGCCGTCATTCTTGGAGGTGGCTTTTGAAGATGTTCAGCACAGTATCTGGATGTATTTGGAGTTGGAAACTCCAATTGTTCCAGAAAGTGAAGACAAACCCTTTCCCATTTTCCATGCAACAATTTTGATAAGGCCACTGTCAGGCTTATCAGGCACAGCATATCCTATCCATTCCATATAAATTAAAGAATCAGATCCTCATGATTTATTGAGCCCCAGTACAATAGAGGATTCTCTGGGTTATATCCGTAGCTTTGTTACATCTGTTTCCTCACCAATAAAGGCCGGTATTTGTCTACCTCAGGACTCTGGTAGCATCTTTGAGAAGGGAGAATGTTCTCAAGTAGTCTGTGTTTTTCTGGACTGACTGCTCCTTGGCTAATTTGGTCATGATACCCATAGCCAATATTACAATTCTTTCAAAGAAAGAGAATCAAAAGGGTTGGAGAACCCAGTGGGAGATGCTTTACCTGGACAGTCCAGTCTAGGACACTGGGAGTCATTACAGAAACACTATTTCCTCCTTCACTCAATTGAGTTCTCAACAATAAGGCCACTCCTTCACCCCTTTCTCTCTCTAGTATTCTAACTCCCTCTTTCAATTTTAAGATCTTATTTCCTCCAGTAACTCATCTTTTTTAAAATCCTTTTATAGTCCCTGATCCCAACAGCACTTTATTTATTCGTTTATTTACAGTATTTCTATATTACTCCACATCCAAGCAGATCTCTTTGGTCTCCTCCTCCCTCTTGCCTCCTTTACTCCTAGGATCTCTTCCTCTCCACCCTTTCCCTTTGGCTGTCCATCGATCCACTCTGTCCCCCCGTCTCTGCTCTCAGTCTGCCTCTTCTTTTCATGTCCTTCATGAGATTATCTTTCTCCTTCCCTTTCCTCTTGGACCATCTGAATAGATGGCCTTGCACTTTTTCTCACTGCTTCCCAACCTAACCAACTGTAACTCTGGCTTCTTTGCTGGGCTATACAAGTTGCCATGCATGTGGCACCAACTTGACATCATTCCACCAGCCCCGGACAGCTCAGCTGGGGTTCACTGGCAGGTAGTGGTAGCCCTGCAGAGCTCCCCACAACTAGGTCTTTACAGAATGTCTGCTTATGCACCCAGGGAAAGACCTAAACAGTAACGGAAGTTCTGTTTGGAATACTTGGGGGAGAATGGGAAGTTGCTCTGTATGCTGTTATACAGCTGTGTTTCAATCTTGAGACCTTGGACCAAAGTAGTTGAGATATCAAGGCACCAGCAATAGGGGGCAAGGAAGGAGGAAATCTACATCAGAACCCTGGTTGAGGAGACAGTGAGGTGGTGGTGAAGACACACTGATCAAAGAGCCCTGCCATTTTAAAGATTTCTCTGTCCTGCCCTGGGACACTACAGGCTCTGTTTTCCCAGGAGCTGGCCAGTCCCATCCACAAGTACACAGCCAGACACAGAAATGAGAAGTTCAACCTAGCAATGAGGTTTGAGAAAACATCCCTTCTGCTTTCACATGTTATCTTCCATATGTGAAGATGTTGGCCATGGATATCCCTCATAGCGTCCTGCTTTGGCCAATGTTAACTTGTATCCACCAGCTAATAAAATTCTCCCAACCTGCCCAACTTTTTTCTTCCTGGTTATATTGAATAAACTACAGTGTGTCAAGTAAAGTATTGTGTGAAGTTTTCTAACATTTGCAACATCTCACTAGTTCCTTTCTTCTGGCAAGTATGATACTAATATTTTGTAAGTCTATCTAGGATGCGATTATTTACAATGGATTCATTTCTTTTCTTTAGCTAATTCTTATTACTTCCACTTTCTTATGTTGAATTTAATAAATCTGGATGCTGGGATGATTGGGTGCCATTTGACTAGCCTAAGGACCTATCCTGCCCAGTCAATTGGCCCACTCTTTAGGCTTATGAGGACAGGTAAGGGCACTCAGACTGGACCATGTCAACCCAACATTTGCTAACAGGGTCCTTTCATTCAAGTAAATAAAAGCTACAAGCTGTGGATTTCTTCCTTGACTTGACCTCAGCTTTTTAAAGAAAAGTGGTGGCAGCTGCTATTAGACTAGATTAATGAATTACATTCCAGTCTTGTCCACCATGCTAGACAAAACAGACAGTACAGCATTCACAACAGCATTCACAACCCTTTGCCTCCTCTCACTGTGATCACCTTCTGATTGCCACATGCACTTGCCCAGTTTTTGCACTGGAAGAAAAGCAAGTAGTAGAAGGGAGAAGGCTGTCAGGGTCCCAATACCAATCAGTCCCTCCTGCCCTGCAATTGCTTTTCACTTTCTAAAAATGTTTCTGATCTAGTCTGGACCTAATTCTCTCAGTAGTTGCGGCAGACTTTGGGGCAGATTCATGACCATTCACACGATCCTGTTGTGATTTAGCCCTAAGAGCACATATCTTTCCACCATGCAAAATTAACCTTCAAAGTGCAAGGAAAAGTCCTATATTTAGCATAAGGAACATATTTTTTCTTCCCATGCTTGAAGGCCACAGTCACCACAACCTAGATCACCTTCTTGCAAATGTTTAGGAAATGTAAGATTAAAAAAAACAACAAACCTTGGCTGTCTCCCTGAACACTATACACTAAAATGCTTGTAAAGATGAACTGGTGAAAGTGAATTACTTAACAGTTCACATGTACTAGCAGGCAAGCTTCTCCAGATAATTGCGTATGTGAGAAATGCATCAAGAAAAGAAGACTGCTCACATATGTGAAATTACCAATTACTCACAATTTCATTGATACAGGAACATGAGACACGCATTGAGTAGAATAAGGAGGGGATTATAATTGTGGGATTTATACTGCACTCAGAAATGTTTTGCTGTTGTAATCCAGTGTGACTACATGCCAATATACTCACCTTCATCTGTTTGACGGTATATCGCATTGTTCCAAAAGGTCCATCTTTCATTAGCTTCTTCCCCACTACCTTGGCTCGGATAACTGAAATGAAAGGATATGACTTTATGAATAAAAGTGATCCCAGGTCAATAGCACCTCTAGCCTTCAAGTTCAGCCTTCCCCAGCCTTGTGCCGTCCAGATGTTTTGGACTACTGAATATTTTGGATCCCTAAACATTAGCTGAACTGGTAACTCTGGTAGAAACTGAAGGCCAAAACATCTGGAGGGCAGCAGGTTATAGAAACTTTGTATGCAGCACATTATCAACAAAACGTCTTAAAGAACATCTTAAGTGGCAGGTGGAAACAGAGAGGCAAGTGGATAAATTATACTTTTTTATGTGTGTGCATGTTGTTAAAAGGATATTTCAAAAGTATAATTAACTGCCATGTTCCCAGGGTCTAGTTTTTGCAAAAATGGTTTGGCTTATGCATAAATGGAAAACCCCTTTGAAAATTGTTCCACTCCATAGCTTCCAGTAAATGGATATATCAAGATGGACTTGCCCAAAATGCCACAGATAACTTGAATCAGCATGTTCTGTGACCCCTTTCCTCAGCAGGTCTTGCCTGCCAAGCAGCCTTGGCGAGTTCCATTTACAGACCAGTAAGAGGCAGACTCACCTCTGCTGAAGCGATGGGAAAGTATTTACTGCTAACAAAGGAAAATAATTTCTTCCTATTTAGTAGAAAAACCTAGTCTTCAAACTAAGAACCACTAGAAGAAGTCTATGGACCAGTGCTCTTACTGAAGATACTATTTCTGGTCACTTAACATCACTCAAACTGAAATGGCAAGGCAAATCTGGAGGTTCCTTCCTCAACTTGAAACAAGTTTTAATGAGTTTCTACAACACTAGAGAAATTTCTCAGGGAGGGTTACACATCTGTAATTGTAAGTTCCTTCTGTAAATAAGAGATAAGCCATGGCCACAATATAAATAGAGGGCTAGGGAGAGATGGGAGCAAGATTAGAAGCCTTTGCTGTAACTTTCATAATGGGTGCACAAAATGCTTTCGTCATTTCTCATTTCCCAGCAAGATTGTCGTAAGAGTCCATCAATCACTGGGTGAATTCTAACAACCCAGGTCTTAATTGTTTAAAATATTTACCATAGGGGATATGGCTACAATTTGCTTTGGCTTAAAGACAGGCTTGTGACATTTTCTTTTTTAAAAAAGGGAATAATTGTGAAGCTGAAGGAGACATTCACCTTGCAACCCTCATAAGGCCCACATACCTTGGCACCAACCCATTTTTCAGCACCAAAATGTCTGTAAGCAACACACATAGCCTGAAGGCACGGTTGCACCTTCAGACTTAATTTAGTAACAGCTATCAATCAAATGACTTTCTGCTTTATACTCCTGAGTACAGTTGATCAACATGTAACTGTTGCCCCACTTCTGGGTTTATTTATTCATTTTAACCTAAGGAGTGAGGTTTTTTGACAACACCTAGAGCGTTAGCTATAGATCAAGAGAGCTTTTATAGCACAGAAGAGATTCTATTCAGGGCACTGCCTGCTGCAACATTGATCACTCCTACAGGCAAGCTTCTGCTGAAACTGGATAACTCTCTCCATCCTGGATGATGCTGCCCAGTGAGACCTCCACATGTGGGTGTGACTGATATTATTAGTCCAGAGTATTTCTTAGAGACTATGCTTTGTCTGACATGTTTGGGTTCTGATGGGTTGCTATCAGCAAACTGATCCTCCGGGAACTCACACCAAATCTACTTTCACAGAATTCTGTAAACTATACATGCAGCTGCTGGTTTCTTTCCACCAACCCAACAAACAAAAACAAACAAACCTCCATTTAAAAAGCTATGCAATTCTATTGATTCTACTGAGATCTGAAAGAATGAAAACTTGTCCAGAATGCAACCTGGGCTTAAGAAGAGTTTGTCCTTGAGATGATTTATTTTGTACAGAGTGTCTATATTTCAAAAAGCATATTCTGATAATTTCACAAGACTTGGCCTTTATTGTAAGTGGTACCAGGACTTCTCAGGCTGAAAGCAACAGAGGGACAGAGGTCAGTTTTCTCACAAACACCAGCATTTGTATCATCCACAACGATTTTTGGGCAAAGCTCTCTCTTGAAATTCAAATGCCAGATACAATATATGGCAGAGTTCTGTTGTTAAAAGAGAGCCATTGTGGTGTAGCGATTAAGAGCATGGGACTGGGACTCAGGCGATCTGGGTTCTAGTCCCCACTCAACCATGGAACCTGCCCAGTGGGTGACTTTGGGCCAGTCACAGACTCTCAGCCCAACCTGCCTCCCAGGGTTGTTGCAGGGGTAAGACTGAGAATAGGAGGAGGAGAATTATGTAAGCCGCTTTGAGTTGTTGTAAGGAAAAAGCAGGGTATAAATCTAATAAATAAAGTTGCAGAGAAAAGGAAGCGTTCTGAAGTGCAGCAAGTGAAGTTTGCATACATAAGAAAAGATTTTTTGCCTAAATGTTCTTCTTCTAGGTTACAGGAAAGCACAGAAGATCGCCTAAATCTGTTTATACACAGAAGCCTTTAGAATATATATCAGCCTCTGTGACCTGGTGCCTTCTAAACGTTTGGGATGTCCACTTCCATCAGACCCAGCTAGCCCAGCCAATGGTCAGTCCTAGGGAGCACCTCTGTGGTGTTCCAACAATGGATAGTACTGAATGACTCCTCAGCCAAGCAATGGCCTGAAGAGCCACACAGGTTGTGCACAAAGAGACAGTTTGGCATATGTTGCCAAATATTTTCATGAGTCTCTGAAAACATCCTCAGCCATCCCTAATCAAATTAAGCCTTGGCTGCCAGAATGGAAAGGACTGGGCTTTTAAGGGACCCACATGGGACACAGGTGAACAAGTTAACGAGACTTCCTTAGTGCCAGCTACACAGCCACCACTAGGGCCGCCGAGCTGATGATGAAATCACTAAGTGGTATTCTAACATAAAATGCTTAGTGGTCACGGATGCTTTGGTGTGAGCAAAGTCAGCTGGCTCCTCCCTATCTAGTAGATGAAAGGAAGTTATGCTTGTTGTGGCCATGCAAGCAGTGGGTTAGGCCACAAAGAGTAACATGGGAAGAGGTGGAAAATGGTTAAAGCTGTAATCCAAGAACCCATTCAGAATAATGCCATGGATGTTACTGGAGCCATTCTTAGGGGTGAGTGGGAAATGACGGCTTTTATAGCACAGAAGAGATTCTATTCTATGCAACTTGTATTCAGACATCAAAAATACTTTTTTAATCATTTGAAAGTTGTTGGTACATTTTAGCAGCTTGGTGAGCAATGGGTGGCACCACTCTCCTTGCCAATGGAAAGGACACATAAAAGTACTTCTGCGCACAACATGCCATCAAACTATGGAATTTACTGTTGCAGTAGCAGCAACAGCCACCAATCTGAAAAGCTTTACAATGGGATTGGACAAATTCATGGAGGAGGAGTCTATCAATAGCACCAGCCTCACTGGCCATGTGATTCCCCCATTATCAGCAGCCGCATACTTGCGTATAACAGTTGCTGAGGATCTTGGGCAGCTGGAAGGCTTGCACCCATCCTGCCTGAGCAATCCTGCAGAAAGCTGTTCTGAAACTGTGTGAATGGAGTGCTGGACTGGATGGGCCATTGGTTGGATCCAGCATGACTTTTTATGTTCTTATGAAGTATTTCAGGCATCTTTCCTTATTCATGCAAAACATTATTAAGGTATACCACCCTGACATTTTCTCTGGCAATCAAAGCACTTGATATTTACAAAAATGTTTTCAAACATCACGCACACAGACCCCATCATTAATATGGGATGGGGCAATGGGATCATATACTCTAAACATGTCCCAACCACTCTTATTCACACTGGCCAAACACTCTGGGGGCCAGCGACAGAAGTAGGGCTTCAGGGTTGCAGCCCAGCTCTAGGTCTCCCTGCAATCAGCCCAAGAATGGCAAATAATGAGGAAGCAGGTCTACTAGAAACCTGAAGAACACATGCAAGAGGAAGCATAGGTAACTTGTAAGATCTGAGCTAACGAAACAGAATTAGTGGCATTTTAACCTATACTAACAACTGCTGTGATTTCTGCCAGTGTTTTCAGTTAGATGATATCACCTTAAGAAAAATGAAGGTTTATAAAAACTACTTCATCAACACTCTGCATGCAAACCAGCAAAAAGATGCCTTGAACACTCTTCTTAATGCTCTCCTTTCCTGCAGACTCCTATTACAGTCTTACTATTACTGATGGGAAATTTTATCCCACACAAGTGGACACCAAAATAGCAGCATATTTTTAAACCGCAACCACTTTGAAGTGGTGCCTATGAAAACAGTCTGTGAGGAATGTTTCTGAGCACTTTGGGGTTTTGGGTCAAGTCACTTTGTGGGATCATAGCAGCTGGCAAGGTCTCACGGATGATTTGTAATTATTTATGTAATATTAAATTGAGTAGGCATATCAATCTCTGATAAGATAAGCATGGCAGCTAAGCTGTAGTCCCAGAAACAACCCAACAGACGAGCTCTTAACACACTGATTTTCATTGAAATAGACAGATGCAAGTTATTCACATTAAAATATACATTTTCCATATATTTGTACATACAGGAAAAAGAAGTAATTTATTCTTGGTTAGGATTTAATACTTTTTCAAACACTTTTTTCCTTGACAGGCTGAATCAGGTCTCCTGAGATGTATACAGCATGTAGGCCAAAAGATTAAAGCACATGCATATCTTTATAATTATGCTTTCAATTTTAAATACTTGATATAGTGATTAGGAAAATTACACCAGATCGCTTAGCTTCTACATTTGGCTTTGCATGGGCAAACAACTTTTGTTGGGCTGGTATGTGTGTACAATCTCTGTCTGCCTGGAATTTTGACATTTTAGACCCTGACACAAATGATTTCATTTCTTATCTTAATTTATAGGGAGATACATGTTAATATCACATAGTCATGAAGGACTTCTACTCTGATAAAAATGCCAACCACCAACCTATTTATGGCCCAACCATCATGGATCAATGAA